AAATAACGAGCGAATAGCAACAAGACAAATAAAAAATAGAGTGCTAGTAAAGAAAAGAAAAAAAATTCTGTTCGAAACGAAGAAATAAATAAATAAAATGAATCGCTTCTTTGGCGATTAATTATCTTGGAAGAAGAAAAAGAATACCCTTGGCTGTCAGCTGTCAGCTGTCTTGCGATGCAGTGTACTGCCTAGTGGCAGATTCAATAGCTCGATATCTTCCCGACAACTAATACAAGTTGTAGTTCTAGACAAGCAAGTCGACCTGATGCAGAGTTCTTGTCCTTAATTGCTTGAGATCCTCATACACACTAACTAACCATATACTAGCCACAAGAGCAGAGGTACGTCATGATGTAGTCACCGTACTATCGGACGAGTGACCCGGGACAAATAGCTGTTAGTATCTTATCCAAGGCCATTCCGTGAATGGTGATACTGAGGTTTGCACACAGGATCTTGTGGATATATGTCAGACAAGGTAGTCACTTACGAGGGAAGGTCCCTAAGTGTGACGCGCCGTTTTGAATCGGATCTATGCTAGTTTGTAGAGCTCGATGAAACCAGACGAAGCCTAAAAGGATTCGTCCCCATACGCTGTCCTTTTCGAGTTATGATCGTTTTACTGGATTTTGGACCACTGGCAAAGCATATATGAGAAAATTGAATTACAGGATTTTAATCTGACATTTTCCGCAAAGATAGACCTCGTGGTCCTTAGAATGTCTTAAAAAATTCAGCTCAAAAGAATATTCTCTTCTTGAGATATTGAGTGTTGAAAATACTGGCGTTTCTAATATTTTCTTGCGACACATGATCGTTTCTTGAATATCAATATCTCAAGAAGGGAACATTCTTTTGAGCTGAATTTTTTAGGACATTCTAAGAACCATGAGACCTATCTGTAGGCAAAATTTCAGATCAGAATCTTGTAATTCAATTTTCTCGTATATGCCTTGCCAGTAGTCGAAAATCCAGTAAAACGATCATAGCTCGAGAAGGACAGCGTATTGGGATGAACCCTTTTAGACTTCGTCCAGTCTCATCGAGTTCTACAAACTAGTACAGATTCGATTCAAAACGGCGCGTTACACTTGAGGACCTTCCCTCGTTAGCCATGATGGCTTGATTGTCTTGGAAAACAATTGTAGTCTGTGAGAGATTTTTTACTTTATGTATTTTGTATTAGTATAATGAGACTCAAGAACACATGTAAGTTTCATTTCTCAGTTACAAAGAGGGTGCACTAACAAGGTTTTTTAAAATGAAATATTGTTGTAATATATTTCTTTTTCTTCCAGCAAATAGTGCAGCTGCTGGTACTGGTGGTATATGGTTTCTTTCTTATTTACCATATGCATTTATTCAACCACGTTATGAAACAATGACACGAGTAGCTAAATTAGCTACATGTATGTTACATAATATTGGTTTAGCACTTGGTGCTCAACTTATTGGCATGTTTGAAGGAAAAGGTATGTTCTATAAAATGAATTTTTGAAAAATTTTATTATAAATTTAGGTACTGGTCTTCAATGGTCAATGTTTAATCAAGCTATATCAGTAGATGATAATTTTACAATGGCAGATGTAATTATTATGTTCTACGTTGATGCTGTTATCTATCTACTTCTTGCTTTATATATTGAAAATATTTGGCCTGGACAATATGGAATTCCAAAGTATAAATAAAATAAAAATGAAATAATACTATATAATCATATAATAATAATTCTAGAAGTATTTTTTATCCATTTAAATTGAGTTATTGGCGAGGATATACAAAGTCAAAAGTTCAACAAGTTAATGAAGTAATCAATGAATCGTATAGAACAGGTTCAACAAGTTCTAATGCATTTGAATCTACACCTACTGATAAAGAATTAGGTGTTCAACTTATCAATGTTTCTAAGGTTAAAAATTCAACAACACAAAAAAAAAGACATTTTTTTATTTTATTCATTTGGTTTTTTTTTTCGTCGTTTGTAGACTTATTCATTTCTTTTCAAAAGTCGTCCATCTGTTCATGCTGTAAGTAATCTTAGTATGAATATCTACAATGGTCAATTGACAGCATTACTTGGACACAACGGAGCTGGTATGATTTTATTTGATAAATTAGTAAAAAAAAATTATTTAAATTTTATTTTTCTAGGAAAAAGTACAACTATATCTATGATTACTGGTAAATTAATTTTATTTCAAAAGAAAAAGAAAAATTTAATTAAATATATTATTTAAAGGTTTAATACCGCCGACAGATGGTCAAATAATTGTTAATGGTTTTGATATAGCAACATCAATGGATAATGTTCGTAATATTCTTGGTTTATGTCCACAATATAATATTCTTTTTGATCATCTTACTGTACGAGAACATCTTAGATTATTTGCAATAGTATGTATATGAAATAAAAATCTAGTTTTTTTTTCTTTTTTGTTCCTTTTATAAATTTAGCTTAAAGGACATCCATCAAATGATATTGATAATGAAATAACAAAAATGGTTAATGATTTAATG